ATCAACCAACGACCGGCAACCAGCGGCGAGTGATAAGTTTATCTCTTATCTTATTCTCTCCCTCCTCTCTTTATTCTTCTTCTTTTTTCTTCCTCCTTCGTCAGACGTCCAATGCACAGGGGTTCCACCCATGGTTTGGTCACTAGGTAAGGCTAGGGCTCTGATGAGAGAGCATGGGAAGGGTGTTAAAAATCAATGGACGTTAGCTGAAATCTATATTACGACCACAGGTTTTGCTGGCGGTCTGGTCAGTGGGTAAAGCTAGGGCCTAGGGCTATGACGAGAGAGTAGGGGAGGGGCATTAAAAATCAATGGATGTCATCTAAAATCTATACTACAAACAAAGAAAAAAAGGAGAAGAAGAATAAAGAGAGGAGGAGGAAGAGAATAAGAGATAAACTTAGTGTTCGCCGCTGGTTGCCAATCATCGATTGATTTGGGTTTAGTGGTCAGTTCATCTATTGTTAACAGAGCAATCCTGTTAAATATCTGTTAATTCACTAAGGTGACATGTTTGTTTTTCATTTGCAGGTTCACGCTTTCCATGAACCCACGGGGTTCACAGGATGCGAGCTCGGGGAGAGACGACTGATTTGGAACATTTAATCAATATGGGTTGGAACCAGAGGGATATGGGATCAAGGGGTATCCAATTTATTAAGAAAAGGGATCACATAGTAACTGACATAAAAAGATGGAACAAAAATCAAATTTGGTAATATTCAAGAGAAAAAATGGATAATGGACCAACAAAAACAAACTCAGGGACATTTGGTGAATAATCCAAGTCAAAGAGAATTCCTAAACAAGGAAAGAGCCCTGCAAAAACAACTGAATAATATCATACAAAGGAAAGAGATATTTTGGGCTCAAAAATCCAGAGTGGAGTGAATTAAACTTTGGGACAGAGATACAAAATTTTTCTACACCTTCACCCTCATACGAAGGAGCAGAAACCACATATTAAAAATCAAGGATGATAATGGTTCTTCGATAGGAGTTTATGAAATTAAAGTGGTTTTTTTTTTTGTGAGGAAAGCCAATGAAAGATTTACATGGGAAAATATATCCAATATGGACTTGGTGCTAGAGGAATTACAACCATGAGGACCAAAACAGGGAATTAGCCAAAGAAGTTTCATCACAAGAAATATGGGATGCAATTAATTCAATGAATGAGAATAAAGCCCCTAGATTTGATGGTTTAAATGTTTACTTTTTTAAAAAAAAGAAAAAAACTGCAATTCAATTATTGGAAGATATGTTGAGGAAGTTGTGAAGGCTTTTCCCATTCTAGTAAAATGACAAAAGGTATAAATAAAACCTTTATTACCTAATTCCAAAGAATGATAACCCAAGAAAAGTGGAGAATTTTAGGCCAATAAGCCTTTGTAACATTATCTATAAAATAATAGCTAAAGTTCTAGTTAATAGGTTGAAACCTTTAATAGGAGATATTATTACTCCCTACCAAAGTGCTTTTGTGCTAGGAAGACAAATCATCGACAATATTTTGGTGGCCCATGAAATGATGAATTCCATGATAATGGAAAAGAGAAAGCAAGGGGTTATGACTTGCAAAATTGACATGAAGAAGACGTATGAGAGATTCGAGTGAAAATTCATTGAAAATACTTTAATTAAACTATGTTTTTGTAACAAATGGGTCAACTGGATAATGCAACATATAACCTTTATGACTTATCAAATACTTATAAATTGGTCACCTTTAACTCCTTTTACTCCACCAAGGGGCATTAGGCAAGGAGATCCTTTTGTCTCCCTATATATATTTGTTCTTTGTAGTGAAGTGCTTTGCAGAATGGTTTGCAAAGAAAATTCTGGATGCAAGGAGGTTTTAGGATTTAAACCCTCAAAATATGGGCCTAACTTCCCATTTCTTCAATTTGTTGATGATTGTTTCATTTTTGTTAAAGCAAAATTGGAAAACATAGAGAAAGTTAAAAAAAATCATGGAACTTTTTTTGGGACAATAACCAAATTTCTCAAAACCGAGTATCTATTTTTCCCAAAATATTCATAGACGTGTTAAGAGGCTCATCTCTGGTATCCTTAAGATTCCCATCGAAAAGAAAAAAAAGTCTATCCCTAGGAATGACAACCGGGTGGGGCGAGGACGGGGAGCCTCTCCCCATCCTTGACCCCGCAAAAATCCCCGTCCCCATGGGAATCCCATTCCCCGTGATTTTTTATAATGTTAACCATTTTGTTTTTTTATTTTATTTAAAAAATAAAAATAAAATAATTAAAATTTACAATCCTATTAGAAAAGATTCAAACATATTCAACCATATTCTTAAAAATATTAATATATATATTAGTGGGGATCCCATGGGGCAGGAGTCAGGGTTCCCATGAGGCGAGGGCTGATCTTCCGGTCCCCGACTCGTCCTTGCTAACGAGGATGAAAATTTCCCCATCGCTGTCCTTGTGGGGGGAAATCATCCCTATCCCCACCTCATTTAAGGCAGTAAAGACACTTACAAAAACAATGATTGAAAAGCCGTTAATGAGGGCTTTTAAAATATTCTTTCCCGAGCTGGTAGAGTTACTTTAATTAAATCTTCTATTGGAATGATGCCCCAATTTTTAATGATGGCTTTTAAAATTCCAAAAACAATGATTCAAAATATCTTCGATTGGAATAATGCCCCAATTTTTAATGAGTTCTTTTAAAATTCCAAAAACAATGACTGAAAATATGGAGAAAAAATAGAAAGGTTTTCTTGCAAACATTAATGACTACAAAGGCATCCACGAATGGGGGTTGGGGGATTAAAATACTTAAATGGGTTAATGCTGTTGGGTGTTAGCATCGCCAAATTAGGATGGAAAATCCTCAACCGAATAATTTTATGGGTAAAAGTTATAAAGCAAAAATACCTCAAGAGAGAATCTTTTTGGGTGGCTAAACCGAAGAAGAATGCCTTATGGGCTTGGAGGGGTGTCCTAGGGATATCCTTAATAGGCTAGAAATTAGAAAACGGAAAATCAATAAGGTTCTGCGATGATATTTGGGTTGGAGATAGTCCCATTAGAAAATGGAAAATCAACGAGGAAAGTCAAGACTCCTTGGTAAGTGGTAATCCCATTTACGTGGTCAGTTAGACCCCACTTGGAATATCAGCAACTTAATCAGTTTTTATAAGGATATTAGCACCAGGAATGACCTCCAAGTTTCTTATGAGCATGCGTTGAGGGAAGGAAACTTTGTCACTGATAGATTGGCGGCTCTCGGACACTCGATGGAGATCTCCAACTCATACCTGTCTGATCCTACTGTGTAATATTTGTTTCTGGGATGCTTGTTTCAAACGTCACTTTTCTTTGTAATGCATTTTCTAAAATATCAAAAAGAAAAAAAAAAGAGAACAAAAACATTTCCAAGTACTGCATACAAATTGCCAATAAATTAGTAGACGGATGCTGGTTTCAGAACTTGCCTTAGAAAGAAGACAAATGTGAGGTGGAAGTGTCCAGTTGAACCTTCTCTAAACGACTTCACAAGTATTGGCTTGTTGAAATGAAGAAACTTCCCAAGAAAATGCCCTCATCTTTGAAGGGTTGGGTTTGACTATATTGTTTTACCCAATGTTCAGAAATCTGGACTGGGTATAGAACCAGAGAAGGGAAAGGTTCACGGGTCAGGTTCAACTGGGGTCAAATCGTGATGACATGGCATATACGGATATACACCATAGGCTATCTAAATACTAAATATAATATATTTATATATGATAAGTAGATGATTTTAAAGCAAATGATTAGGGTTCAATTCTTTTAATTTACTTTTTCTTTAAAATACGTGTATAATAAATTAATATGTATAATAAAAAAATCATTAATTAACATAAATAAAGAGGTAGATTAATGATAATCAAGCAATATATTGAAATTAGAGGTCATGAGTTCAAGTCTTTTTAAATACATTTTATAATTTATATCTCAAGTAAATAAAATAATGACCATTTTATTGATTTATTCATAAAAAGTCGTTATTAAAAAGGACAATTTTGTCTCATCCAAGTGTTGACAACTTTACTCCAGGTGGGACTGGGAGATGGGTATCATTTACCCGATATCCAGGGAAATAAATTTTTCCATGAGCTTAACACAAATCTGAAAAAAGAATATGGGTTTCTTGGTCAATGAAAACCAAAATCTCATTGACCAATTTCTCCCCTCCCAAAATCCAAAAAACGAACAGGAAAACCTCTCCCATTGATCTAACAAAAGAGAAACAGAAAGCTGTCCTAAGTGATCCACGTTCCAAATCCTCTCCCATCCATTTTTCATGAGATTCAAAGAGACTCTCGAGAGAATAAGCACAAAGGTTTGAGTGCTTCATGATCTCTAAAACCTCTCCTAAATCCAAAATCTCGTGACATTAAAATACCCGAGGAGATGAAGAGGAAACAAGGGAATTTTAGATGAAGATAGTATGAATGGCCTTGAAAATTTTGGTTTCAACAAACCCCAATATCATAATGTCCATCTTCAATGAGGGCTCAACAGCTTATTCTTGCAGATATTATCGCATCCACCACGCCACCTCTAACATAGCTTGCTTTTGTAGACTTCCCACCAAAACCCATCACTACCATCTAAATGGTCCTGCTACCACAGCCTCCAAGATTTCAGGAGGGAGCGATTGACTTATCTATTGAGGAGGTAAAAGAGAGATGCCAATGTTTGAGTGACTTACCCATTTCTCCTCCAAGAAAAAAAAAAAAAAAACAAAGGGAAGGGAAAGCCGTTTTCTTGTTTCTCTAGAGTCCTTTAGAGATGGGGGTAAAAGTATCAGATGCATCAAGAAAAACCTAGTTGTATTACTTCACTGTGCCTGCACACCATAAAGATGGTTACCTAACATATGATAATAATAATTTAATATGATGATCTTACTGACCAATCAGTTGAACGATTAAATCATCGGAACCCATTAGAACCCAAAAAGTTAAAACCATTAAATCAGGAGCTGATAAGAAAAATAATTCTGTTGTCATTGATGGTTTTAAACTTTTTTAACAAGTCTTTAAAAGAATACAATAAATATTCCAAATTAAAGCCTTTTTGTTCCAGTGTAAACTTTTAACACAAAAATCAAGAAGTTAATTTTACATGCTGGTTTAAATCATTGTGAGAAAACAAAGAAAAAAAGGGAAAAAACGAAATATTGCTGGTGAACTTGCTTCCTTGTACCCAGCAACCTCCACATCTAAAACTGGAAACCTCTAAAGAACCTCTTCCCGGACACTAACAAGGGCAAGGAAATGTACATTCAAGGACAACCTCAAATATAACCTCCCTATCATGCCAGTTTTTTTCTCACATGTCTTCCGTGATAACATATATCTTTTTGAAAACATTTTCCGGTACCATGACATCTTTTCCTTCTCTCAATAGAATATTTAGTTGCCTGAGAAAAGTGCTTGTTATAATCCTTCATAGACTGAATATAAATCATTGATCAAATTTTCTTTTTTCTATTGCATGTATAAAACAAGACCTATTTACAAACCAAGAATGAAATCATTAAATTTAAAATTCAGTGTACCTCCATATCATGCACTTTGCTGAATTTGCCGATGTATTTGCAGCATCCAATCAACATACCCACAGGTTCCACAATTCTGGTCTTCCAAAAGGTTTGCAAACAGCAAGAAAGCTTCTCTTGGCTGCTCCCCTTGTCTTAAAAGCTGGGGCAGCTGATAATAGGAAGGGTTGCTTGCCCTAAATCTCTTTAGTATTGCCATTAACTTTCTTGACATCTCATTATCTAGCTCACAAAGGCTAACCTGAATTGCAAAAACAAAAAGAACAAAACTGTGTTGTAGAAGCTCAAGTGTCTCAAAGGCACTAAAAGACAAGCCAAAAGGAGAATATAGAAGCAAAAGAGAGAAAATGATTCAGGCACGAAAGCTAGGTTAAACATCCTAGTTCAATATTATTATTGGATGATCCCGTTACAATTTCTGAGGGAAATGCCCTACTCACTGACAACATCAAATAAGTAAATAAAAGGAATATTTGAGAGGCATTAAACAACTAAATAAGCCATCAAGACATGTTATCAAGAGACAATATGAGTCATAAAAGATCAAAACAGCTTGCGAAGATGTTTACATTTTACAAGATAAAAATAATTCTGAACCTATTTTATCAGTAACCAGATCAAACTTTATTAAATGCAACACGATGAGATGTATACAATCCACTAGCTCCTCAAGAGAGAAGTAGCCGGATCCAAATCTATCATTGGAAAGCATAGTACAACATAGAGTTCCATTGAAGTACATTAGTTATCCCAAGTGCCCACCATAATTACATTATTCTGGTGTAGAACCCCCCCCCAACAAAATTACATCTTTTCTTGATTTTTTTATTCTCTGTCATTTTTGAAACCAGAACCTAAATAATCTCTTCTCCTAAAATTATCTTTAGTTCCTATTTATCTCCAAAATTATCTCTAATTTATAGAGAGTTTCTCTATATTATCTCTAATTCCTATTTATCCTCTCCCCTACTTTTTATCTATATCTATCTAAATAAATTTGGATTAAAAAATTTAAGAATTATTTAAATATTCTAACAAAATTATATAATAACTTTAAAATATTTATTAAAAACACAAACAATAATTTTGTATTTTTACAAAATATATCACGAAATTATGTACTAACAATCTAAATTATGTTTTTCCGGATTATCAATTTAAATGTTTCTCAAATATTTAATAATATGTAATAGCTTTAAATATTTAACATAACTAGATTTTAAATAGTTAAAATAACGGAATTATGAAATAAATTAAAAAAATCAAAGTAGAAAAATAATTATAACATAATATTGAAATTAATAATAATTTTATATATTACAAAATTAATAATGAAATTATGTGATAATGGTATAAATTATGATTTTATGGATAATTAAATTCAATAAATAATTAATATCTTAAAATTTAAATATTTTACTATTATTTAAGTATTTAAATAACTAAATATTTAACATAACTAGATTTTTATTAGTTAAAATAAAGAAATTATGTAATGAATTTAAAAAAATCTGAAAATTAGAAATATAATTCTAACATAATATTGAAATAAATAATAATTTAATATTTTTACATAATATTGTAAATAACTAATTTCACTTATATCAAATAATAATTCGAGAAAATAACTTTCAAAAAAATAATATTTATTAATAATAATTTTAAACTCTTAATCTGTATTTATTATATAATTATATATACTAAAATTAATATTTATTGTATTTCAGTAATTATCTATTGTTTTTGTGATAAATGTATTTTCAATGATTATGTATAAATTTATTTTGTTTTGTTATTTAACAGAAAACTTTCAATAACTATTGGAGAATAAACTACTACTATTGAATTTTTTTGAATTTCATTTATTGTACTTATTGTATTTATTGTATTTTTGTTATAACTTATTGCCTAATTAATATTTATTAGAGATTAAACTATTATTAGAGATTATACTATTTATTGACTAAATTAATATATTTTTAGTACTTATTGTATTTTTGTAATTATTGTATTTTTTCATTACCAATATATTTTCAATAATTGTGTATTTTCACTATAAATTTTCAATAATTATTGGAGATTAAACTATTGTTATTTATTGGAGATAAGACTATTAATTTAGCTAAAATTATGAGTGTTCACGAGTTGGTTCGGTCCGGCTGTAGGCTATTTGGACAACCAAATTGACCTAGTCAGGTTGAGGAGTTGGTCAACTGAAACCGAGTGACCTTTTGTGAAAACCAACCCACTCAAGTTGTATTGGTTTGGGTCAGTTTTCACCAAAGGTCAGTTGGTTCAATAGATTTAAACTTAAAAGTTAAATTTAATTTTAAAAATCACAATACAATTAATAAAAAATAAATTTAAAAATTAGATTTATGAAACAAAGCATTTTAGACTAAGAAATATGAGAAGTTTCTCACTTTTTCATAATAAATATATATGGTTATGTCGTTTGATTTTGGTCATTTTACAAATGGCCAAAGTGAAACTGATCCAAATTGGTCGAATTGGGAATTTTTTGAACCAAAGCTGACAAAAAATACTAGAAAACTGACCAATGCGGGTCGAGTTGATCGGGTTGCTCGGTTTCATAAGTTTGATGAATAAACCTAACTAAAATTAATTATTGTTATTTTTGTATTATAAAAAAATTATTAAAAGTAGTATATAAAATATGAATAATTATTAATTATTTAAAAAGTTGAAAATATAAAACAATTATATTTGTCATTAGGCCCATGATTTTTTATTCCAAAAATACCCTTATCACTTTTTTATACAGAAAACAAAATTGGCCAAATATAGCCAATAAAGCGGTTGCCTGTGTCTTATTAAGGGCAAAAATGCTATTTTTGTTTCTATTTTCTTTTGGTTAAATTTATTTAAATGAACATTAGGGTCAACACTATCATTTTCCACTATCATCTAATGGAAGATTGATTAAATCCGTTGCAAATTATAAGTGGTGTTTTAGTAAAATGCTAACTATAGGGCTGATTTTAGTAAATGCATGATACTATAAGGGTATTTGAGTAAATGACCCTTTCTATTATTTATCTGGTATAGACCCCCCCCTCCCCCAACAAAATTACATTACTTGTAAAATTAGAATTATTGAAGTGAATAAGATGCTAAACAGGATGAAGAAAAAGGTGTTAGGTGGAAAGGTATGGAAGAGGTAGGCTTATTATGGCTAATTAAACTATTTATTAAGATAATGAAGACAAAGATGGTGCTAGATGAATGGAGAAAAACACTATGGTGCCTACATTTAAAAACATGTGCCATACAAAGCTATAAGAATAATTTTGGGATTAAACTCATAATTGAGCAAAGGTTATGGCTTGTATCAGAAAGGGTTAAGAAATTTAAGGGACCATGAATCAGAAAGGGCAACCTTCTTGTTACAAATTCTTGATTCAGTTGCCCTGGATTTCTCTAAATCAGATGGCCGGATTTGGATTCCACACCCCAAAGGTCGTTTTTCTTGTGCCTCCTTTTTTCTTTCTTGTGTTCAGACCCAAACTATCTTCCTTGCCTTGCTGATGAAATCTGGTCTAAATCTATTCCTCCCAAGGTTGGGGCTTTGTGTTGCGAAGATTTCCATGGGAAAATAAACACTCCGGATGTTTTGCAAAAAGAAGATCCTTTATGTGCCTGTCCCGGTGTCCCCTAACCGGTGTACCATGTGTAAAGCAAGTGGAGAAAACTGCTACCAACTTCTGATATCCTGCCTGTTTGTTGATAGTCTCTGGGAAAAGATTTTTGAGCTTCTTGGTCAAAGGTGGAGCTTGCCTACTCAGATTAGAAGTCTCTTTGAACCAACGACTTTCAGTTGGCCAAATAGAAGGGGTAAAATTCTGTGGAGATGTACCAGGACTGCATTGATTTGGACGGTGTGGGAGGAAAGGAATGGCACAGTGTTCAATGATAATGAAAGAAAAAAGGAAGCAGTTCTGGATTGCATCTTATATAGAGCTTTAATGTGGGCCAAGTCTCTAAAGTTATTTTCTGATTTCTCCTTTGATGATATGTGGAGAAATTTGGAAGCTGTAGCTAGTAGTTCTGCTACAAGGAGTAAACCTGTTGTGGGCTGGAAACCACCGGATGAAGGATTTATCAAACGGAACTTTGGTGGCTACAGCCTAGGGAACCTAAGCCGGCTGGTATAGGGGGAGTTTTTAGAAACTATGAAGGTCATATTATTGCTATGTTCTCAGGTTCAGTTGGAGTACGGGACTCGGTTTTTGCAGAGTTCCAAGCTGTCCCGCAAGGAGTAAAGTTTCCTAGAGATTTTAAATTATGATAGATTGTTAAGTGAAGGTGACTCATAAACTGGCAATAGGGTGGTTTAAGTGGCTGGTCAGAGATATGACAATTTCAGTCCAATGGGAAAGGAGGTCAGCTAACGGGATAGCTGATTTCTTTGCAAAACAGGGGGTGCATAAGTCTGAATTATTCTGGACTCAGTTGTAATCTGGTTATATGGCAGGGGCTGTATCTCGTGCCTCTGCTGGTTGTACTCTGTGATACTTAACTATGTTCTAATAAAGCTAATATCATTTATCAAAAAAAAAAAAAGAAAATTGACAATTGGTAACATCTGGCTATATTTTCCACCTTTTCTACTATTGGCTTATTAGGTGAGTTATCCAGTTATTGTTCTTCTCCTCTCCTATTCAGTTGAGAGCATGTTATCACGGACCTAGACTCCTCTAGCGTCTCGTGCAGCACTTGGGCAGCAGTCCGTCGCTCCGCAAGTCAGCCTTCCCCACTTAGAGTACTCCAAGTAGCTTACCAACTCGTCCCTCACACTAAGGCGCACACTTAGGCAACAAAGGCACAGTGCACACAAGGAAAGAGAGACAGAGAACTCAAAGGAACTCCTTGTAATGCTCAAGAGAGGAATACAACACTTGTTTGCTTGGTGAATGCAAATAAGGGAGGGGGTCCCCTTTTATAGGCACTTCCACCTCCTTAAAGGATTTCTCTAGAACATGAATGTTCTAGACTTGCTTCTAGACTCCTCCTTCTAGACTTAACTTTGTTCCCTTAAGTACATGAATGCTCTAGAATAGTTCTAGAAGTGTGTACAAGTATGTACAAGGTTTAAGGATGTTCATTAGGCTTTTAGAATGCTTCTGGAATCTCCTTGAATTCTCTTGAAGTGTCTTGGGGCTTCTGAAAGCTTCTAGAGTGTTCTTGAAACCTCTCTTCCATCAGTCCTTCCCACGGTAGGGTCGAGTCACATAGCCTCATTCTTGGCACCTCGTGACATCCTCCCCCACTTAATTTGGTGACGTCCTCATTGCTTCTTCATCATGGTAGTGACAAATCAAGTGTTCAAAGTGCCAAAGATCTTCTATGCGTTCCCAACTCACTTTGTTTGGAAAGTCTTTCCACTTGATGAAGTATTCCTTGTAGGGTGGCACGCCACACCTTCTCATCGTCCGATCTGTTAGGATGCATTTTTCTTCTTTGTCAAACGATGTGACCACAACCGTGGGTGCCCTCTATGAGTCACTTAGGCTGGGTCCTCCATGTCTTTGTGATATGGTTTGAGGTAGCTCACATGGAAAACAAGATGTATCTTTAGCCTAGAGGGTAGTTGGACTTGGTATGACACCTTGCCCACCCTCTTGACAATGGGGAATGGCCCTTCATATCTCCGACCAACCCCTTGTGCACCTTCCTTAGGAACTTGAACTGTTGAGGGAGTAGCTTGACAAGCAAGTCCCCAATGTTGAATTCCACGTGCCACCTCTTTTGGTCAGCCCACTTTTTCATCTTTTTGGTGGCTTTGGCCAAGTAGGCTTGAGCCAAGTCTGCCTGTTCCTCCCAACTCTAGGCAGCACGATAGGCTTCTGGATTCTTTCTTGTATAGCCAACCGCAAGCGCTATCGGTTGTTGTCCTATGGCAAGTTCAAAGGGGCTTTGGTTGGTTAACTCATGCTTCCGTAAGTTAGGACTGGGCTACGTCCAACCTCTTAGTCCAATCCGTTTGGTTGGCACTCACATAGTGTTCTTCATGAAAGCTGGGAGAAGCACAACTCCGATCCTAAGAGTTTGAACCTGCTTTGTCTGACCATCTGTCTGAGGGTGAAAGTTGGTGGAGAAGCACAACTCCGATCCTAAGAGTTTGAACAACTCTGTGTGGAACTTGCCTATGAACCTGGGGTCCCAATCACTAATGATGCTCTTAGGTACACCCCAGTATTTCACTATGTTCTTCATGAATAAGCAAGCAACCTCTTTTGTTGTGCAATTGGTCGGGCGCATACTTGAAAAATTTGTCCAGATATGCCTTGTGTGCTAATAAGTGGGCACCCTTCTGACTTTGGAAAGGCTGAGATGAAGTCCATGGAGACACTCTCCCATGGGCACTCAGGTGTGGGTAAAGGTTCCAACAAACTACGTAGTGCCTATTGCTCCACCTTGTCCTATTAGCACACAAGGCATATCTGAACATAGGCCTCTACATCATCTGTCATGTGAGGCCAATAATAAGCTGCTTCAACCAAGGCTAAGGTGTGGCGCTGGCTTGGATGCTCAGCCCATGGAGTGTCATAACACTTTCGTAATATCTCCCGTAGATTACCCCACTTGGGCACATAGGACCTATTCCCCTTAGTATAAAGTAATCCATCTTGCACCAAAAATCGCCTTGTCTTGCCTTCTTGGGCTGCCTTGATCAGCTCTTTGGATAGCACATCTTGCTCCAACCTTTCTTGTATGTGATCTAGGATATGGTTCTTTGGACCACTCATGGCCGCTAATCTTTGTAATGGGGCCAACTCGGACCTAGATTCCTCTAGCGTCTCGTGCAGCACCTGGGTAGCGGTCCGTCGCTCCCAAGTCAGCCTTCCCCACTTAGAGCACTCTCCTGGCTCTTTAGACCAAGTAGCTTACCAACTCGTCCCTTACACTAAGGCACACACTTAGGCAACAAAGGCATAATGCACACAAGGATAGAGAGATAGAGAACTCAAAGGAACTCCTTGTATTGCTCAAGAGAGGAATACAACACTTGTTTGCTTGGTGAATGCAAATGAGGGAGGGGATCCCCTTTTATAGGCACTTCCACCTCCTTAAAGGATTTCTCTAGAGCATGAATGTTTTAGACTTGCTTCTAAACTCCTCCTTCTAGACTTATCTTAATTCCCTTAGGTACATGAATGCTCTAGAATAGTTCTAGAAGTATGTATAAGTATGTACAAGATTCAAGGGTGTTCATGTGGCTTTTAGAATGCTTTTGAAATCTCCTTGAACTCTCTTGAAGTGTCTTGGGGCTTCTGAAAGTTTCTAGAGTGTTCTTGAAACCTCTCTTCCATCAGCCCTTCCCACATTAGGGTCGAGTCACAGCCTCAACCTTGGCACTCGTGACAATATGCCGATGCAAATTGGACTAGTTTTCTTGACACCCGTGGGTCTACTTCTGGGTGGTGTGCCTTTATGGGTGATTCACTCATCCCTTGGAAGTGTAAGAAACAACAAACAGTCCCCAAGTCTTCCATTGAAGCAGAATATAGGGCAATATCTTTTGTTTGCAATGAGATTGTTTGGTTACAATCTCTCTTTATGGATCTTGGTATTTAGCTTCCTACTCCTATTCCTCTTTATGCAAACAATACGAGAGCTATCAAGATTGCATCTAACCCTCTCTTCCATTTGAGGACCAAGCACATCGAGGTTGACTGCCACTTTATACGAGATCTTTACATTGTTGGGTCTATATCGCTTCCTCATGTAGCCTCAGACATGCAAATTGCTGATATCTTCACCACCAAGGCTATGGCTAGAGTTCAGCACCTCTTTCTTATAGGCAAATTGATGCTTATGTCTATGCATTAGTTTGAGGGGGGGAGTGTGGAGATTCTGTGACGATGTATCTTATTAGTATAGTCCCTATTGTATATTACATTATTTGTATTCTTTATTCTTTTCTCTCTTTCAGCCCTACATGAGCATTCTTGTAATTGTACATATCTTTTAATATATAAGAGACTCTTTGAGGTGCGGGTCGACCATTCTAGACATCTCTAAGATTATTCTTGTTCTCATCCTTTTGGCCAAGAGTGTTACACCTCTAAGATTATTCTTGTTCTCTTCTTTTTGGCCAAGAGTGTTACATCTCTAAGATTATTCTTGTTCTCTTCTTTTTGGCCAAGAGCATTGACATGAATATGTTCTTGAAATACCATGAACCTCTACAATTTTGCTTTAGACAATACACTATTAATCTTGAATTCCCTTCCACCATCAAAGAGCTAATCTTGAGAGATCTTGCCAATAGCAGCCCTTGAGACACCACAAACAGTTATGCCTTTATGGAGCTTCCATGACCTATAGGTCCTGGGTACATGCCTAAATTTTATTCACGGGAAATCTCTAAAAATCCCTCAAATATCTGGTGGCCCTCGGTTGCCCAAACTGCAGTCATCAAAATTTAGTTTATTTAGGTTAGCAGTAGGTGAATGCTATTAGCAAGCAAGAAACCAAAGTTCTAGCCGAAGAACAGGAAGCTATTGTCAGGCAAAATCTCATTTTCCACAAATCAGGTAGAGCCTAGGTGAAAAGAAAAAAGATGCACCAATTTATAGTGATATAAATTAAAAAAAATGGTATTTGTTTTGTAAAACAAGAATTTGTTGACAGGGATGTCCCTTTGTTTATAAAATGGGATATGTGCAAATCAACACCTAAAAAGTAAAGAGTTAAGTTTCATTTCTTGTTTATATTCAATGAGGGGAGAGTCCAGCATGTTGGGGACCACAAGATTCATTCCTAACCATTAGCATAGATAATGAATATGATAAGAATTCAATAACTTCTGATAAATATGATATAAAAAGGTTAAAAACAACTTACTTAAATCACTAATGATATGATTTGAACTCAATAACTTTGAAGCACTAAAGCTCACAGAAATCAAAAAGCATACCTTGGATAGGTCAGGAAAAGTAGACAAGTCCACACCAAGTAAATTAACAGCAATATCAGATGAAAGCATTTTTCCAAACCACATAATAAAGCGAAACCCATCATCATAAATATATAGACCTCTGGAATCTAAACTTTGCATGGTTAACGGTAATGATTTTGAAAATTTCCCAAAATCATCAATCTTTGCAGATGCCTGCACATATAAAACATAGTTATTATCTACAGAATTTAACATTTAACAGAATCACAAGAGAAAATAAAACAAGGTCAGATTCCTTACATTTTGGAGATATTCATCAATACGAATTAACCTGGGATAAAGAAGCTTCAATAGCCCTGCAATAGGTAGAGTCATCATAGTGTAACCAGCTGCACAGCGTTCATCAAGCTGAACATCAGCAAATCCCCCACGGAGAGGTATGGATTTGCATAGCGCTAATCCATACAAAAGCAAGAATTGCAGTGATCCTGGGTATATCATCCTGCCACCCAAGCGATGCTGCACAGCATAGAGATTTCGATATTCTCTAAGGGCTTTCACAATCCTCTGCTGAATAGAGTTGCGGGCATCTTCCAGCTTATAAGACAAAGTTCTCTCAATTGCTGCAGATTTGATTAGTTCATATTAGAAGCTTAAAAATAAACTCAAGATCAAGTTATATATAATTACCAAAATGGGGGAAAATAATACCACAGGAGACTATATTACCTAGATACAGAAAGGAAATTACTAGACATAGTGTTGGATATGGAATTCACACTAAAAATTGAAGTATCTGACACAATACAGCACTGTTGTACAGGTATCCAGGAAACACGGATGGGAGATCAGGGAGATAGGAGATAGGAGCTCTTAGGAACAATCTAGAGAAGTCTTAATATGAAATGAGCTGTTGTAGCTTTTAAAAGGATTGCACTATAGCTTCTCCATGCCAGTTAACGAGCTAGTAAATTCCTGGGTGAATGAAGGGGTTATTAAAGCTAATCGATGTTCAGGGCCTGCCCCAGAGAGAACACTGTAGGATGACTTGCATGACAATTTTAGGTGGTTAAGCCGATGACTCAGTATAACTCCTTTTTTATGGCAAAGGGAAGAAAGCACTAAAACATCAAGCTACAAAGATAGGTGATAAGTTATCACCAATAGGGATAGGAGGAAAATGAAACAACCACATCTCAACAAAGGGTTCTAAACCCTAATATCAAAATCATTCAACAAAATCCTCATCAAAGAGGCCAGCACCAACATTTGCATTCAAACAGCAGCAGCACCCTCATCAAGCTCTATCCTTGCTAGTTGCTACACCCAGGATTATCTATTCCACCCCCTCAACCAATCCCATCCTTTAGTATCAGAAGCTACTATTTAACATCCCCCAATCTAATAGAATTTATCCAACCATCACCCTTGCTCAATTTAATTAATGACAATTCAATGTCTCTAAGTCAGTCTCTTTCTTCTAGATCCATGAACATTCATACACACTAAGGCTTTAGGTATTTGAAAAGTTTTTTTTTTTTTTGCTTAGTTTAAAAGTTAAAAGTGTTAGACAGTGTATGCCCTTAGCTCCAATCAGAATGATGTACCTTATGACATTTAATGTA